TGATTATAGTGTGTATTACAATTTTGAATATGCTTTTATTTTTATATTTCCAATTTTCATTTTAATTTAATTTTAATTGAATTCTATTTGGAGTTAATTTGTTTTTATTTCAGTTGTAGTTTTAGTAATTTTAGTATTTCAACTTTTACTTAATTATTTCAGTTAGTTGCTAAAGCAACTTTTATAAATTTTGCTTTTTATGTTTTACATCTAATATTTTTTATTTTATTTCATTTCAGCTTTTTTTCAGTTACCGTAAACATTTTAGTTTTTAGTTTTCATTTTAGTTTTCGTTAACAATAACAAAACTGATCAAAATGACATATAACAGTGTTGCTGTGCAGTGTTACAAGTAACGCGAGTTACGTAATCAGATTACTTTTTTCAAGTAACTAGTAAAGTAACGCATTACTTTTTAACTTACAAGAGAATATCTGAGTTACTTTTTCAATTAACGCAAGTTACTTTTTTTTTCCAATTTATTGATTGACAGCTCTCCTGTCCCCATGCTGAGAGAAATCGTCCCAGGTTACGTATGTAACCATGGTTCCCCGAGGGAACAAGACGCTGCGTCGGAAAACGCTAGGGGAACGTATTTTTTGTCAGTTTGTTTTCTTTCAGTTAGCACTGGTTTTGTATTTCTTTTTTGAATTTAAAAAAAAAATGTGGGAAAAAAAAAACATTATTTGTGGATAATTTTGGCAATATTCACTCTAAAACTGAGATGCTTAATTCAGAGCAATGAGGCCTACGATCAATCAGTCTCCAAATAAAATAATACTAATAATGGTAATAATAATAATAATAATACACAACCTGTGCTAATTGAAAGAAAACAAGTAGATTAAAAGATTGAATGAAAGATTTGGTAATAATTCAACATAACAATACATTTATAAGCAACGTTTTGTAAGTTGGCCATTTTTGACTGAGGACAACACAAGTGGATCAAGGTGGGGGAAAAAAAACATTTTAAAAACTGCAAAAACTTGTGAGTGAATGTCCATTGCAAAATATTAATGGGAAAAAGAAAATCCTCTTCGGGTCAAAAAGACCAGAACACAACATGAACATTAAATGAACTGCAGAGACCAAATCATGTTGAGCTCAAGTCTTGAGTAGTATGGTAAAATACTGCTTTGGTACTTTAATGATATTTTATGGTGCTATTTTGGTCCTTTCTGGTGACTTAAATACATGCAGTCAATGTATGGAAAAGAGCTGCGTAAAGATTATTCATAATCTCTCTGTTTGGATCCATAGAAGAACATTGTGTGAGTATTTCTTTGACTTCTGCATAACTTTATTTTTCTTTCTTCATATGTTGCCTGTAAAGCACGTTGAAATGCCATTGTGTTTAGTATATGTGTTATATAAAGAAACTGGCATTAATAAAGTCATTCCTTACTGTACAGTACCTTGTGGGAAAAAGCTTGACCAGCTTTTTGCAAATACTCAGAATTACATTTAGTTGTAATTTGTATTTGTTTTTTAACATTTCTATTTAGTGTTAATTTATTTTGATTTCAGTTTATTTTTTTGTAATTTACTTCAACTTCAACTTATTTCGTTTAGTTACTAAGGCAACATTTCTAATTTTTGATTACGTTTAAGTTTTAATTGCATGCAAATATTCATTAAATGCTAATTTTAATTAAATGCTAATAGCTTTTCAGTGTTGAAATCAATATTGTTTTAGTGTATTACAATTTTGAATATGCTTTTATTTTTATATTTCCAATTTTCATTTTAATTTAATTTTAATTGAATTCTATTTGGAGTTAATTTGTTTTTATTTCAGTTGTAGTTTTAGTAATTTTAGTATTTCAACTTTTACTTAATTATTTCAGTTAGTTGCTAAAGCAACTTTTATAAATTTTGCTTTTTATGTTTTACATCTAATATTTTTTATTTTATTTCCTTTCAGCTTTTTTTCAGTTACCGTAAACATTTTAGTTTTTAGTTTTCATTTTAGTTTTCGTTAACAATAACAAAACTGATCAAAATGACATATAACGTAATGCATTACTTTTAAAAGTAACTTTCCCCAACACTAACTGTCAACAATTTGCTATTTCGACCATAGACAATGATTATAACATTGCCTATGGTCAAAATAGCAAATTGTTGACTCATCATTTGGTTGTAATGCAAAAATGTTACATTTGTATTTCCAAAATGCTAACTGGACATCACTCGCTTGATTCCCAAAGAATCATAATTGTTGGTAAAGATGCAGTCAGCAACACATTCGACATGCTCAACTAGTCGAATAAAACCTTTGACTGCAAGATCAAGATAGTTTACCTGAAGAGCTGCTAAAGAGTGAAAGTAATGTGATCTAAAGATGGCTGCTGTCAGTCGGAATCAAGCCGCATTAACATTCAGGCACCAGCAGAGACAGACCTGCCTGCTATTTATTTTTATCTGTTCCCTTCCCTCGCACTTCTTCTGAGAGACTCAATAATTCATGGCGTACAAACGCACACACGCACACACACACACACACACACAAACACACACACACACACACACACCTCGCTGCTCTTTACTCATATGATGACGAGAAGAGTTTCTGCACAATCACAACCACGATCAGAAGACTGGAGTCCGGTCCTCCGAGACGCCTAACCAGATTAAACCCCCTCGCTCTGACGAAATGTACAAACATCACGGGTGAGGCTGCGCGTGTTGACATTAGTGAAATAGATTGTGTCAGTGGTGAATAATTTATATTTTTATTGGAAATTCTGGCTAAAAATGTTTTTATGTACTACTGTTCAAAAGTTTGGGATCAGTGAGATTAAAAGAAGTCTCTTCTGCTCACCGAGGCTGCATTTATTTGATCAAAAATACAGTAAAAATTGTAAAATTTAAAAATATTATTACAATTTAAAATAGCAAGTCTCTATGTGAATATTTGTTAAAATGTCATTTATTTCTGTGATCAACGCTGAATTTTCAGCATCATTACTCCAGTCTTCAGTGTCACATGATCTTCAGAAATCATTCTAATATACTGATTTGCTACATTTCTGATTATTATCAGTGATGAAAACAGTTGTGCTGATGAACATTGTTTGTGGAAACCGTGATACATTTAATTTTTCAGGATTCACAGATGAATAGAAAGTTCAAAAGTTGCTGCATACAATTTTTAAAAATTAATAAATTCTTTCTGACCCCAAACTTCTGAACAGAAATGTATGTTACATAACCACTTTCTTTTTGAACTTGAAAACAAAGAGAAAGATAGAAAGTAATAGAATCCTAAGAAATGACAAAAACTATCAAATGTTTTAAAAATAAAAACAGTAACACTGTCATAACCAGACGCGATATGATACGATTATGTCCACAACGTGATAACGTGATAAAATCACTCACAAATCACAACCAGTACATAATAAAATTAATAGTTATGGTAACACTTTATTTCGATAGTCCACTTTAGACATTCTACTAACAGTAAGTAACTTTGCAACTACGTGTCAACTAGCAGTCATTAGAGTATTAGTAGACTGACTGCTTAATATCTTCTAACACTTTATTTTGATGGGTCCACAACATACAACACACTGACTATGAGAATATAGATACTTATATATATAATATAGAGAATATATACTTTGCAAGTATATGTCAACTTACTCTACTAACCCTAAACCTACCCTTCTGAGAGTTAGTAGGCATGCTATTTAATGAGAATTAGTTGATATGTAGTTACAAAGTTACTTATAGTTAGTAGAATGTCTAAAGTGGACTATCGAAATAAAGTGTAACCATAGTTATTATTATTATTCAAAACTCATACTCGATGACTCATGCAGTGTTTGTCCGGGAAAACATTGAACTCAATTTGAACGTTCTTCCTTTTCCATTTATTTTCCAGCTCTGAGGTAAATGATCCATAGTATCTTTCATTATGGCCATTAAAGCCACACACAATATTATTCGAAAACTCAAATTAAACCTTTTTGACGTCATAAAAACTCAATCAGTACCTGATCTGTCAACTGTGAAGTTGCATAAATACTGTAGAAACCATTATAAAAAACAGAGTTGGGAACTAAATGACCAGAATGCAAAACTAAATCCCTCTGAAATGCCATTCTCAGAAAAAAAAAAAAAACCGTGATGGCACCTTTTCAAAAGGAACCAATATGTGCAATTGAAGTACTATTATGTACACTACAGGTACTAATATGCACCCTTTAGAGGTAAGTAAGGTACAAATGTGTACTTTTGAATGGGTGCCGCTGCAGTGACAGCTTTTGTACCTGATTTCCTGAGAGTGTATGGAAGTAAGAAGTGTTGCAAACGTCATTTGGTGTCGACTTTAACCAACCACTGATCCAACAAACCAGCAGTAACCAGCTCAGAAACTCCTCGACTCGACACAGAAATGTCTGTGAAAAGACCACCCAATGTACTTTTCTGTATTCATTTTTACCTGCATTTTGACTTATGAATTGCATTTTGTTGTTTTATGGTTGCTTTTAACATTTAATGTCCTTCCAGTTCCCTTCTACTGAATTTCTCTTTCATCGATCGTCTCTCTTTTGAGCAGGGCACTTCTGACATGTTGAAGTTTTTGATAAGTCTCATACGTGCCAAACTGGATTAATCGTTTCCCCTGGGTTCGGTAGGATGTGATTCATGTAAATCATGTGTTTCCAAAGGCTCTTTCACACCAAACACCAGTGCGGTTTTCAATAGAAGCTATGGATTCCTGTGGAGCTCTTCAGAACGGAGACCAGCGTTCGCTTTGTAGATTCACTGGCACATCAACACAGAGTCTGTATTCTGTGCAATAATTAAATAAAACATTGAATTATAGATACAGGACTGAAGGTGCATTAGCCTTGCACCAACTACTGCTTTTGTTCAGTTCGATTATTTGCTTGAATAGACGCTTCATTGTGTTCGATGTGAAAGACCTTGAGAGTGTCGAATTTTCTGCTTGATACTAACACGGTTGGTTTTCTTTGGGTTTTCAGCTGCAGAAAAGGGAGCGTTCGTGTCGATATTTTGTCCAGGTATTTTCCTCTTTATATTTACGCCGCTTTCATCCTCACATCTCATGCTTTTCTCTTCATTCGCACCCCAGCTCATGTTCCTTGTGTTTTTGTGAGGTCCTGTTGTTGTCATTTGAGGCCTTGAGCAAATTTAACCTCCACCTTTGCAAACTACCCATAATAATCCAATGAACGCACCCTTACGATCGCAGAAACACGCTTGTGAAAAGAAGTGCACTTAAGCATGCTTTTATTGTGGAAATAATATGCTTTAAAAGAACATACTTAAGTGTGAACTGTTAATTGCAATTAAATTAAAATGTATTATAGTTTCATTTTATGTAAAATGCAATTAGCTGAGTGCTTTTGACCCACTTAAGTAGGACTTAAGTACATCTTTATATGTAATTTCATAATGACTTCTATTGTCTTTGAAATATGGTTAATGTACTGACACGCATTTATGATCAACTAAAATGTACTTTAATGTTAATTCTGTTGAAATTGTATGTCATGCATTTAAATATATTCATTTAAATATAGTTTCAATTTTGTTCTTTTAAAATCTATTAACTTTAAACGTAATATTGAATGAGTTAAAAGTGCTTTAGCATATTAGTCAACACAACAATATAAGTGTGCTTATTTAAAGCACAACAAAAGATTATTAAAACAATGATATAATGTACTTTAAAGTAAAACTTTGAAATTATTACAAAGGTCACTTTTTAAAAGTGTATTTAAGTGAAAGTCATGAACGTGTCTCTCTTTAAGTCACTTAAGCGGCTTAATGTTAATTCTATTGAAATTGTATGTCATGCATTTAAATATATTCATTTAAATATAGTTTCAATTTTGTTCTTTTAAAATCTATTAACTTTAAATGTAATATTGCATGAGTTAAAAGTGCTTTAGCATGTTAGTCAACACAACACAATAAGTGTGCTTATTTAAAGCACAACACAATATTATTAAAACTGATGAAATGTACTTTAAAGTAAAACTTTGACATTATTACAAAGGTCACTTTTTAAAAGTGTACTTAAGTGAAAGTCATGAAAGTGTCTCTCTTTAAGTCACTTAAGTGGCCTCTATTTCATTATCATTATATTATCTGCAAGTACAGTTTATTAAAATACACTTAAGATTTGAAGTACACATTCAACACAATTAAGCGCACTTCTTTTTCACACATTTTCAAAGGCAAATTATCATATATCATCACCAAATCTTGGATTCAGTATTTTTTGTCAGTTTGTTTTCTTTCAGTTAGCACTGGTTTTGTATTTCTTTTTTTAACTTAAAAAAATGTGGGGAAAAAAACATTATTTGTGGATAATTTTGGCAATATTCACTCTAAAACTGAGATGCATAATTCAGAGCAATGAGGCCTACGATCAATCAGTCTCCAAATAAAATAATACTAATAATGATAATAATAATAATAATAATACACAACCTCTGCTAATTGAAAGAAAACAAGTAGATTAAAAGATTGAATGAAAGATTTGGTAATAATTCAACATAACAATACATTTATAAGCAACGTTTTGTAAGTTGGCCATTTTTGACTGAGGACAACACAAGTGGATCAAGGTGGGGGAAAAAAAACATTTTAAAAACTGCAAAAACTTGTGAGCAAATGTCCATTGCAAAATATTAATGGGAAAAAGAAAATCCTCTTCGGGTCAAAAAGACCAGAACACAACATGAACATTAAATGAACTGCAGAGACCAAATCATGTTGAGCTCAAGTCTTGAGTAGTATTGTAAAATACTGCTTTGGTACTTTAATGATATTTTATGGTGCTATTTTGGTCCTTTCTGGTGACTTAAATACATGCAGTCAATGTATGGAAAAGAGCTGCGTAAAGATTATTCATAATCTCTCTGTTTGGATCCATAGAAGAACATTGTGTGAGTATTTCTTTGACTTCTGCATAACTTTATTTTTCTTTCTTCATATGTTGCCTGTAAAGCACGTTGAAATGCCATTGTGTTTAGTATATGTGTTATATAAAGAAACTGGCATTAATAAAGTCATTCCTTACTGTACAGTACCTTGTGGGAAAAAGCTTGACCAGCTTTTTGCAAATACTCAGAATTACATTTTCAATGGTCTCTTTACAACTGTCTCATGGATAGACTTCTGACAATGTGATTAAAGCTCGCATTAGCATTGAACTAATTAAAGCAGCATTAAAACCTTCAATAAATGCATGAATCGGTTCACATGTGGTTCAGTTCACATATGCACGCAAACGATCATTTATGAACATCTCCTGTAAATGCACACACGATATATATGATGCTAAGCCATAAATACATCGAAGTCATTTGGTTTCTGTAAGTCAATGCACAAATAGATTGCAGCCATTTTTGTGCTTAAATAAAGGTGTTGTGTTTCACTAGTCACTTTTAGAAACTACTTAATTTTTTTTTTACCCCTACTTTATTATTATTTTTTTGGAATTCTCACTTTCTGCAATTTTTTGAGCTGTAATCCCATTGGCTAGTGCTCACCTTTCACTGTCCGCATTTTAATTTCAGCAAATCACTTTGGGTGAATATGGCAGCATGATTAATATTCATGAGCACAACGGCTTCCATTAGATACAGTGTGTAAAGTGTAAGTTGATGTTGTTAAATAGACTAAAACATTTTACTTTTGAATCACTTTTAGCGTTTTCTAAATCTTTAAACGCATTATTGTTAGTGTTTTGTGCACAGAATCACTGAATGGCCAATAATGTCTCAAACACTTGCCAACCCATGCATGTTTTAGTTCTAATTATTTGAGTTCTATTATATATATATATAAAAAGCTTGATTCACTGACATATCTTAAATACGATTGTATCTTCATGAATAGCAATTTAAAACCATGTCGTAATGTGAAGAGAGGCTGATGAGATGTAAAATGAGTTTCCAAAACACACAGTTTTCAGATCATTCATACAGTCTGTCATTAGTGGATACTTAAATTACCAAATGATTTTATAGTTTTTGCATTTGTGGATCTGTTTAAAACCTTCGTCGACACTCGCGAGCGCAGCAGCACTTTAGTGTCTTGTTTTATGTGCTGCTGCTGTTCAGTATCATAAATTAATAACTGTTAAACATATCATTTAATGATACTGAGAGCTGCTTTGTGTGTTTATAGTTGCCTAAACGCCGTCTTACTGTGAGAGTAAGAGCTCCTACAGTATTTTACATCATTTAAGTTCAAGTTATGGATTGATATTTACGATATACGATATTTACAATATTCAAAAGGAATTGTAAATTATATTTGCAATTGAATTTCCAGTTTGTGGACGCATAATTTATGACATAATTACAATTACAAGTCGTGCATTTGTGTTTTTATTTTCTTTTCCGTATGTAACATGTATGGCAAATTTCAAATGGAAATATCATTCCATATCAATAAGCAAATGTATAAATAGGCAAATAAATAATGGTTTATAACTCCATACATACAAATATATTTCAAAGACTTTCACATATCAAATTAGTTTCTTTTATATTAAAGGAACAGTTCACCCAAAAATTAAGTTAAGAATATTTACTCGCCCTCAGGTCATCCAAGATCAGGATGAGTTTGTTTCTTCATCAGATTTGGAGAAATGAAGCATTGCATCAGTGTCTCACCGTGTTTGGAGCTTGTTTTCTAGATTTCTTTTACTAGCTGAGTAGATTTTAAATAGTTTTCTTATGTGTCTGTTTGAATGAAGACAGTGATAATTTCTCATTTTCATATTTTCTTGATTTTTTTTATGCAGGCTGTTGCTATGCAGTTGCTAGGGTGTTAAGCTTGTTGCTATGTGGTTGCTAGGGTGTTCTGTGTTGCTAGTCAGTCTGAACACTTAGAAGAGCAGCAGCTCATTTCTCCTCAACACATTGCTCGATTTTCATTGTTTTTCCTGTCGGAGACTCCAGTTTAATCTGACTGCTGCGGTTTGGCACGTGACGGCTGGTTTCTGCCTGACGGGTCGTTACTTAATGGTCTTTAATGGAGAATCAGTGTTTAACAGAATGAGATGTTTTAAAGATGAACGTGACCTTCCTTGAGCCCAGTGTGATGATGGTGAACGAGAGACGGACACACAGACTATCCACTGCTTTATCAGTGCTGTCTGTCTGCCAGGATCAAACACACACACACACACACACACACACTCACACACACACATCACACACACACACACTCTCTCACACACACACACACTCTCTCACACACACACACACTCTCTCACACACACACACACTCTCTCACACACACACACACTCTCTCACACACACACACACTCTCTCACACACACACACACTCTCTCACACACACACACACTCTCTCACACACACACACACAGACTGCACAGACTAAAGGAGTCTGTTGAAAGGGACATTATGGGTCGGTCTGGGATCTAAATGCACAAAATCAAAGCTGGATAAAATAGAGAGAGCATGTATTAAAAACACAATATGAATCTTCTACTATTGTCAATGTGATTGGCCACACACACACACACACACACACGTGTTTACTTCTTATTTTTCCTCAGTACGTCTTTGAAAAAGTGCAATATGAGTCAAGCTCATGTCTATATGCACAACATGAAAGCCGCATGCAATATGTGCTTTAAAATTAGAACTTATATTAAAAACACAATATGAGTTTTCTTCCTTTAATAGCTATCAGATTGATCAGCGACACACACACACACACAAACACACACACACACAGAGTTGTAATGCAGGCTGGAAGTCATTTGTATGTATGAGAAGGACCATCTAAGACGAGCGAGAGCAGAATGTGAAACACACGTTTATATTTCAGGGGTTGTTGGCATTTCTGGTTTCTTCTTCTTCTCCTCTGCTGTGTATGATGATGATGATGATGATGATGATGATTCAGTCCTGTATGTCCGACATACACTGAACACTGTGCTGCTGAAAATGTGAGGGTGAAGCTGTCAGGAGAACTGTCTGGAAATGACAGAAAGAATAAAATAAGAGCG